TGACAGTCACTGGATCGACCCGTTCAGCACATTTAACACAACCTGCAGCCTGTAACTTGTGATCCGCTTTGTTCAGCTCACATGAACAGAACATGTGTCTGCAGTTTGCAAGTGACGTTCATGTGAAATGAGACGCTAACGTCGGGTTTCAAAGGTCGCCTCGTGTTTTTTTTAGTGAAATACAGACGCTTGAATATGAGAAGAACAAAGAGTCGGTTTTAAGACAAATTTTCTGAAAACATTCAGGAAGATTTCTGCAGCAATCTGATTTTGAAACATGCAGAACAAAAATCTACAACTTTATAAAAGCTGCCAAAACAAAAAAAAGAGTGCTTTCAACAGAAAACCTTCAACTAGACGCCATGTTGGATCTGTTGCACTTAAACTGCTTAAAATTGAAAACTATCATAAAGTGGTTCTGATTCTCACAAGTCCAGAGTGTTGCATCGTGTCAACTTTTTAAAAACCATAAATACGTTTTATTCTCATTGTAAACTTCGAGTTAGACACAAAATGACTTTATCAGATAAACCTTTTAAGTTAAAAACATTATTTCGATGGCTGACATGTTTTAAAAATTCAAATTTCAGCCTTAGTTGAGAGTAAACTAAACTTCAGTTCAGGTAACTTGATGTCATTTTGCTTCACCTTGAGTTCAGGATGTCACGTCTCCTCTCCTGCTTACTTAAAGCTGCACATGTAAATCAGTCAAACTAAACCAGTTTAGTCCGTATGTATGTACTCGTTTACAGAGTTATCGGTTTACTGCACACCAAAACAAAATACGTTTCTGAGGGTACAGTATGTGTAGACTAGTTTAATTACCCGCTCATTCAATATGAAAACACGTTTACTGTACAGATAAACCAAATATTTCCACATGCAAACTGGTTTCACGCAAATCTAAACGTGTTAACTCCATATTTATGCACTACTTTATACAAATGTACCAGTTTACTCTACACCAACACCTGTATTCCACAGATAAACCCCATAACTGCACATTTAGACCTGTTCTTTCCACAAAAAAAGACTAATATCTGTAGAATTTATTTAACTTCTAACCTAAACCTGTTAACTTCAAGTTTATCTACTACTATGCACCAATACCAGATAAACCAGATTAACCTGTTAACTAAACATTTAGACCAGTTTAACTTCAAGTAACTGAACTTTTTGTAATTTACCCACTTGAAAGCTTGTGGTTTTAATTATTGTTCTCAATACATAACAGTTAAATACATGTCTTTATCTTACCAAACTCAATGTAGTTTGTTGGTTGAGCATCACATACAGAGTTTCTATGACTGTCTGTTCTGGTTCAAAGCACCATTAATCAAGCTGCTGGTCCACCTGTACCTGCTGAAACAGGTGCTACACCTCAAGGTGACAGCGATCCAGGTAGACAAACCAACGGGGACGCCGTAAAGACAACCTCACCAGGGACGGGGACGGCGGTGGCGGTGAGTCATTAGTGAATGGAAACAGCATCCATCAGGGGAAGCTGGTTAATAATCTCACTCAATCACATAATGACGCCGACAGCCAGGCGTCATTATGGAAATGAAGCTCGTATCCGAGGGATCTGATGGGGAGGAAGCGAGCCTGTTGCCCCGATAAAGAAGTTCGGAGACGCCTGAGTTTGGGCGGAGCAGTGGGGAGAGATAAAAGTGACGGACGGTGAGGCAGGAGAGGTCGAAGCTCAGCAAAGACTCCAACTAGAAACAACCGACACAGCTCGTCTGAATCTCTCCTCTACTGACATTTTTTTTTTTACCAGTTTACTCACACAATAACAGTTTACACAAGTTTAAATGTAAACCAGCTGCTTTTGGAGGGTTTACAACACACCTGGAAGACTCGACTAACCAGTTTGGTGCACATTTAGACGAGTTTACTCGACAGATAAACCAAACATTTGTGCAAATAACTCCTTTTCCTGCTAAACTGAACCTGTTTACTCCACATTTATGTGCGAGCTTACTCACAGTTAGAGTTGACTTCACACTCACACCAGTTTAAATGTAAACCATATGATGTTACACATCAACTACCCACCTCAGAGAGTTATAACACCCAGTTTAGTGCACAATTACACTAGTTTATATTCAACACACACCACCTACACTTAGACCAGTTCAACATTCACACAGGTGAACTCTACAGATAAACCAGACAGCTACACATGTAAATCCCACTAAACTAAACCTGTTTACTCCATGTTTAAGTACTGGTTTAGACAAATTTACCAGTTTACTTACACAGTGACAGTTTACTTCATATTTGCACGAGTTTAAATGTAAACCAGGTAATTTAACAGGTTTACGACACACATCAAACAGATTAGTCCACATTCAGACTAGTTTAGGCAAAAGATAAACCAAATATGTTGCACAAGTATTTCAGCTTCTTGCTCATCGAACGTGCTGACTCCATGTTGCTCCATGTCTATGAAACTTAACTTTATATATATGAAGTATACATTTACCTGTTTCCTACACACCAAAACCAGATGCACCAGATTATAAATAAAACCAGCTTCATCTCCAGATCAGCCCATGACCTGCACATGACGACTGACGCCTGCTTCGTTGTGTAGGTCATGCGTTTTATTTACGTTGCTAAAGTTGTGCTAACCTAGTTATGCCAACCTAGCATAGCGTTAGCTAGCAGCTTAAAGCCAATAACTGCAGAAATAAGTGTACAAAATATCTAAGAGCACAGAATGACCGTTCATCACTCCATCAGGCTGTTATTAATGATATTGATGCTAATTTAAATGCTAAAGCTATGTTCTGATTCTCCATGAAGCTAACAGTGTAGATAAATGAATGCAGGACTTTAACATCAGCTGGAGATCACAACATGGTGGAAATGAGCTGCTTGGAGGAGGTCTGAGCTCTCTGAGGGCTTTTCTAGTTTATTGTTGTTATCATTGAATTTTTGAATTTACTGTTTTACAAGAAAACTGGAAAAATACTAAAACATATTAATTCTTGATTGAGATGTCAAATCATAGTTAGTTAATGGTATTCCTGAACAAAAACAATAGTTTTAGAGGTTGAATGTTACACTTGGTTATTTTATTCTTCTCAGAGAAGCCCAGGGGCTCAGGTTTATGTATAAAAAGGTGGATTCAGGTTGAAATTCCTCATTCCTGCTGGTAAAATGGTAAAACGTGGAGAGCTGAGTGGCATTAAAGCACTTCATGATGCTGGATGGTCTCTCTCTCTATATATATATTTCTATATATTTTTGGATGTGTGTGCGCGTGTGTGTGTGTGTCCTATTTTCACCCCCACACACTCTCTTCACTCCTGCGTCTGAACCAGTAAAACCATTAAGTCGCAGCCGACAGCAGAGACACGCAGGGCAGGAAACGTGTTGATTGGTGTGATGAACAACAAGCCAACAGCTGCTCTATTTTCTCTCTTATAGACGCACAAACACACAACAACAGACGCACAACAGCAGACACACAACCCATACAAACAGGCCAACACGAGTACAACAACACACTCACTCTGTGCTTGTGTGGTTTTCTCAACAAGTTTCAAAATAAAACGCTCGTTGTCAGTAATTAAAATAATAGAAAAGCATCCAGACAATCAGTTTGAGTCGTGTTTTAATAACGCTCTGTGACTGCAGCTTCTTAAATGTGAAGAGTTTCTGTTGTTTTTTCCTCCTTGATGACATCAAACTGAATATCTTGAAGGAAACAAGACGTTTTGGGAAACACTGATGTATATTTTGTTTTCTGACATTTTAAAGACAAAACAACCTATTAATTAATCACAAAAATGATCAACAGATTAATCAACAATGGGAATAATCATTAATCAGGTCTGTCAGAGGGTTTAGACAAAACACACCAGCATGTATAAACCACTGCACCTGAGCGTTTGTTTTCACCTCAATTAGCAAAGTAAAAGTCAACCTGAGACGCTTTCTCATGCTTTTATTTTGATAATCTGGCCCTTTTTTATGTTTCGTCATATTTCCATCTAAACATCAGAGTCTGACAGCAACACACTTTCTGTGAAACACCATCAACACAAACCTGCTAACATGCTAGCATGCTAACACGCTGCAGAGAGAAAGCTGTGCGTCTGTTGTGTTCATGTTGTGTTCATGTTGTGTTCACGTTGTGTTCACATTGTGTTACCTGCACATGATCTCGTGGGTGAGGAGGACGCGACACATCTCTGGGTTCTTGTCCTGGCCTTCGTACAGGATCGGCTGCCAGGACACAAACGGAAAAACATTTTTTAAAGGCAAATCTTTAGTTTTTTGTTAGTTTGTGGAGGTGACAGAAGGCTTGTGGGGGAACAAGTTTAACAGAAAAGGAACTAAACGTTGAAATTCAGGTTTAATCCACAAATAAGCCAGTTGGTTTTACATGCACACCAGCAAACCTGGCTAAACCAGTTTAGTGACGATTAACACCAAGTTAATGCAAACTTAAACCAAGCAAACCAGTTTTTCTACACATGTAAACCAGTTTACTCTGAAGATAAACCAGTTTATGTTTCAACCAGCTTAGAA